TCCTCTCCAAGTCAACAATGTGTCCAAAATAGGCTTACCCTCTGATTCATGTGCTGTTTTCAGTGCCCAGGATACAGACTTAAACTTTGTAACCCATCACTCATCTATCTACTGATTGGTTGTTGCTGTTAAGCTAATAAGAGAGAGAGATTAAGAGCAGTGAGCAGAACAAAGTTCTGCCATTAAATTAATTTAAATATTACATTATCAGCCCTTTCACACTTTGTAAGAATCTTGAGCCATAAAGTACAGTCAGTTCTAGAACTGGGGAATAAGGAAACAAAGCCAGTGAGGTTCTGGGTACTTTTCTCTGGTTAGTTAGTTCCAAAATGCTACTCTGTGACTTACCCAGTGGGATCAGCCTGATACTTAGCAAGTTTTTGTACCTTTCCTTTATGTGTGTCTTACTGAGTCTTTTAACTGAGAATGGGGTGAATAGCAGGGTTGTGGGAACTGAGGAAATAAGCAAACTCGATATCTACTTTTTGAAAAGTCACTCGGTCTATCATCCCAACCCTGAAACACATGTAAACTTCTCTCAGACCAGAATTCTTAGGCTTCCTGTCTCTTGCACAGTATTTAGGAGAGGGCAGAGTAAGTCTCAGCCATGAGAAAGGAAGTACGTTCAAACACTCAAACACGTCTATCAACTCTACGGGACTGTCTGAGCATGCCAGATCTAATCTTTGTGCTCAGAAATGTCATGTGGCAGTTATTCTGAAGACAGTGGCTTCCATAATGCTGGTGCCCACCAGGGGCCACATCTGTGTGTGGAAGAGAAGCAGCTGTTTATGGTCTGGTATACCAGTCTTCCTTTAAGAAAACTGACTCCAGGGGTACAGGCACTGTGATTTTTTTCTGAGCTGCATCATGGAGATGGGATTCTACTGGAAGATGAGCTGTGTGCTGAAAGATGGATAAGCCACACTTGCCCCTCCAGGCATGTGATTCTCTAACCTGGGCCCACCACAACCCTGAGAGGGGCAAGGAAAGCATGGTCCCGTCAATCCATGGTCCACATGTAGCCAAATACATCACTACAGTATTTGGTGATCCTTATGTACAAAATATTTATAGACAGTGTGTCCTACAGAGATGAAAGGAGAGGGGCTAACTGATGTTCATGAGTATGAAACGACACACATTTGAGGCATAGAGGAAGATCTCATGGGGTAATGATCCAGTGAATTTTCTAAGAGTAATCCTCTACACAGCCGTGAAATGTGGTGGTGGGTGACTCCAGGGTAATTTCCCATGGAACCCAGGTCTGTAGCAGCTCTAAAAGGGGCAGGGAAGTGGAGCTGGGGAGAGAGCCTCCCCTTCAATCTGTTGTCCAGATGTAGCCAAATACCTAGTTAGATATTTGACAACACACACACACACACACACACACACGGGGGGGGGGGGGGGGGGGGGGGCTCGGACAGGGTTTGATTTCACTCAAAGATGAAAGCAAGGGATTTGATCATGCTGAAAAGGATGAAGGAGCTTCTGCTGTGCATATAAGGCAGACAGAGAGATGCACACGTATTACTGAGCTAGACACCATTTCTAGACTTGAGAAATGTATCTGCTAAAAGCCATCTATCTACATATGCCGTGACAAGACATCAGTGACAGGAACCTTCAAGTCTAGGTGAGTAAGTTTCCATTTATCATAGGCCTGTACAACTGGAAAGGGGAAGGGAACAGCGTTAGGGAAACACAAGCTCCCTCTAAACAGCTACTCAGGCATAAGCAAATACTCAACATACTAGCTAGCAAAATATATACATATAAAAATAATTTACACATATTATGTCTCATCATGATGAAATTAATTGTCCACTTTGGGCAGAAGGGAGGCGAAGTCTTAGTCTAATTATATGATTTGATAGATTCTCCAAAAATGTATGTTTTATCTTCTAGTAGTTATCTTCAATATGTAAATACTTATGGAAATGTCACTTTATAAGCCATTTGAAAATCCATAATGATAAAACAGCTCATAATAAATAATCTCATAAACTAATCTTATAAGCTAAAAACAATATGATTTTTAAAATAATGTTTTATCTTGCTTTAATAGTATTGTTTGTTGTTGTTGTTTTGTTTTGTGAGACAGGGTTTCTCTGTGGCTTTGGAGGCTGTCCTGGAACTAGCTCTTGTAGACCTAGTTGGAGGCTGGTCTCGAACTCACAGAGGCTTTAATAGTATTAATAACTCCTTATAAAAACGAATAGCCATAGCCAGGCATTGGTGGCACACGCCTTTAATCCCAGCACTCGGGAGGCACAGGCAGGTGGATCTCTGTGAGTTCGAAGCTGGCCTGGTCTACAGAGCAAGTTCTAGGACAGGCTTCGAAGCTACACAGAGAAATCCTGTCTCAAAAAACCAAAAAAAAAAAAAAAAAAAAAAAAAAAAAAAGAGAGGAATAGTCATGATTCAAATCTGATTTTTTTTTCTTGCTTTTTGCCAGGGTGTGTTAATGACTGCAACCCACTCTGCAAAATGTGGGGGTGGGGGCTGTAGACAACACTCTGGGAGGTCAGGGTTTCTTAAGAGATGAAGTGAATGAGGAAAGGAAAAGGATTACTTAAAGAAGTTTGCTAGGGACTCTGCTTTTAAAGAAGTCTGTGACCAAGACACAGTATCCTCCCTTTGGTAACATGGTAACCAAAAATTATGATTAAAATACATCTTACATATTTCACCCAGGTAGAACTGATGACTGCTTATCAGCCAACAATCTAGAGGGAAGAAAGGAGACAGTTACTTACACATTGCCAATTCCCAAAGACGCTTCTTATCATGGCTAAGGAGTCAATGCTGAGAGCTGGGAAGATCTGTGCCATAGCACACCATCGGTAGTATTTATGCCATGTAGGGACAACATGCATAAACAATCTCAAGAACAAGGTTTTGACTTTACCATAACTGATTTAACTGTAAGTGCATGCCACTTAATGTTTTGGTTGGGGGAAGGTGGGCTAGGGGTTTCATGTAGCTGGCTGGCTTCAAATTTCTATGTAGCCAACCCTGATCCTGCCTCCACTCCCATTGTTAGGATCACTGATACATGCCACCACACCTGGCTTCCCTTAATTTTCAGTAGTGCTATGTTGAGCAATAATTCACAGAATTCTTGAAAACTGAGCAACCAGCAAACCAGCAAACCTGTACAAACTGGCTATAGCACATCCAAATGAGTGAGAAGGAAAGAAAAATCAGACTGAAAACCATCAAAGGGGATGTGCTAATACATTTTCAGATTGACAGGAAGATAAAGGATTGGGGATGACACAAACAAATGTCAGCACACCTTCCTTATTATGTCCTGACAACTATAAAAATGAGTCAAGAAAATGAGACGTTTCAAAGGACTTCTGCTTTCAGCTAGGGGTATTTATAGAACAAGAAAGTGTCCAGCTTCTCCCTCCAAGTGTCCAGTTTTTAAAGGCTTCTCTAAACAGATCCCAAGTGCTTTTCAAGCTAAATTATTTACACACTAACCACCAAGCAACTTAGGAACCCCCAGTAACTAAAACTATACAGGACTGGTCCCATGATCTGCCAGGGACAGCAGCTTCTATTGCTCTGTCAACAGCACAAGAGGTGTCACCTTTGTAAGACTCAGAATCATGAAGAGAAGGGAAACAAGAGGGAAGGAAGAGAGGGAGATGCTATGACAGTTATCTTCATTATCAACTTGGTGGGATTTGGAATCACATAGGGTATTTGGAATCACAGAAGAGAGAAGTTATTACATAGATAACAGCTCGTGGCAGCTGTTATCTACGACAGAAGAGAGACGTGATTATTTGCAGCCAAACACTTCTGTTATTTGTTACCTTAATTTTGCACTTCACTGTCCAACTATTATACTAAGAGGAGGGAGGACTCACCCTGAATGTGGGTAGTGACATCCCATAGGCCTGGGGCTCAGACTGGGGAAAAGGAGAAATCGGGCTGAGTCCCAGCATCCATCTCTCTCTGCTTCCTGTCTGTGAGTGCGATGTTACCAGTCACCTCACGCTCCTGCTACCTACTGTTCTTCTCTGTCATGTGGACAGTACCCTAAAACTGTGAGCCAAAAGGAACCCATTCTTCCTAATGTTCCTTTTGCCAGCTATTTAGTCACAGCAGTGGGCAGAGGGGCAGACACAGCTATCACACAGAGGCTGCCACAAGCTGTTATCTATGACAGAAGAGAGAAGAGATTATTTGCAGCCAAACACTTCTGTTATTTGTTACCTTAATTTTGTACTTCACTGTCCAACTGTTATACTAAGAAATTAATGCAATCATTTCAGCTGTGTTTTCACAGACTTTGTCTTTGAGGTGACAAACCTCTGAGTAACTGACAATTCATTTTTACCTTACGTTTGCAAATGTCTGGATCGACCATGTCGTGGGATAAAAAGTGGCACCTGATCTTAGCCAAAACGTAGTGAAGCAACTTCATGTGACAAAAATCTATGTAATTAACCACAATGCCCACAATTTATCCTGTAAACTTGTCATGCTAAAGATGAAGCATCAATTGCTTTTAAATTTTGTCATTTTTTAAAACTTTGATTAAAGTGCCATTATCTTTTAAACTTATTTTTAATCATGTGTATGTGTATGGGGGGTATGTACATGAGTGTGGATGCCCTCAAGGCTGGAGGCATCAGATTCCCCTGAAGATGGAGTTATAGGCCATTGTTAGCTGCTTGACATAGGTGCTGGGAACTGAATTCTGGTCTTCTGGAAAAGTAGCAAGCACTCTTAACTGCTGAGCCGTCTCTCTAGCCCATAAGATGCCTTTATTATTGTTTTATTTGGGAATGTGCTACTTTGAAATTTTCTTTCAGTAAGACTTAAAAATTTTCTATTATACCTGGAAAGCCTTTCAATGGCTTTATAAATAATTGTCTATTAAATATAATTTTGGTTGGAGATGTAGCTCAGAGGTAGAGTGCTTGCCTAGCATGCACAAGGCCCTGGGTACAATCCCCAGTACTACACACCTACACAAATACGTTTAATTCATGTTTAATCATCAATAAAGATAAGTGCGTGAATTATCAATATACTCACTGGGTAATAAACAGTTGATTTGCTAATGCTATGTTAAAGTGCTTCCTAAGAGGGATCCCACTGACTATCAGTCAGTTGGGCATGTGCACGAGAGACATTTTACTAGAATTAACGGAGAGTTTGTGAAAGATTGGCAATACTCACTTCTCATGTACTTAGCCTAACTCAAAGTGATGCATGTAAACAGAGATAGGCCTCTACTGCAATCAGCTACAAACACATGGCAGGTCCCATTCCATGACTAAAAAATGTTCATGGAAGAAAGCAAGACAACCCAATATGAAAGTGGTTAAAATCATCTCCAGCATTGTCACTGTCTAAGATCTGTATAATCCTATTTGTGGGAGCTGCCAGGTGTGTCCAGGAGCAAGTCAAACCGCTACACACATTTCCGAATCTCACATAAATAAGTAGTGCTAAAAAAAAAAAAAAAGAGTAACAGAATTATGGTTAACGGAAACGAACAGTCTTAGATAAAATGGTCCCATGGAGAAGAGGATGAGTTTGTGTTGTTTTTCAGATGGCTGTGTAGTGTGACTTCACCTCTTTTAGGGAGATTTACCTCCGGTCTCCTTCAAGTCTCTTCTTGCGAACTAGGTAAGAGAGAAAGAAAAGTTTAAAAAGGCAAATAGAAGAAAAGGATAATCTTTAAGGTCATTGTAGAGCAGTGGTTTTCAACCTCCCTAATGCTTCAACCCTTCTCTGTGTTGTGGTAACCCCGGCCATAAAAATATCTCCACTGTTACTTCGTAACTGTAATTTTGCTACTCTTCACTTATGAATAGGTAAATATCTAATATGAAGGATCTTAGACCCACATGTGGGTTGGGACACTGATCTAGAAGGTAGTATTCAACAAACAAAATCTATGCCACATATCAGAGGGTATGAATCATCTTCAACTTCAACGTTCAATGAATTATGACAGTAAGTGGAAATGGCAAAATAATCTGGAATGAAGAGGAATTCAAATTTAAATGAAGATATGTCTGGGAACTTCTCTGTGTGTCTGTGGAGGAGTCAGTTCAGGAGAGGTCACAAAGCAGTGAACTGCTACGTATTTTCATGGGGATTTCCACACAGGCATCTCCTTGGCTTCTGTGTAGTTCTGTCACCAACCAGCCTTTGCAAAGTTCCCAGGTGAACACAGTCTCACCCCCATTACCTCTGACTATGGCTGGGAGACTAGGCTTCTGTAAAGAGAAGAAGCTCAGATTCTCTAAGTCTCATCTTGATTAACAACTCCTAAGTCCCAGATGTGGTGTAGTCATAGTATTTTGGAGGCCAAGGCAGGAGAATCAGGATTTGGAGGCCAGCCTGGGCTACATAGTAAGTTCCAGGACAGCTTGGGATATATAGCATGATTCTGTCTCAAAACAAACAAACAAACAAACAATTCCAGACTGGAGAGATGGCTCAGTTATTAAGAGCACTGGCTACTCTTCCAGAGGTCCTGAGTTCGATTCCTAGCAGCCATATGGTGGCTCACAACCTTCTATAATGAGATCTGGTGTCCCCTTCTGGTCTTTTGGCAGACATGTAGGCATAACATTATACACATAATAAACAAATCTTTAAAAAGGAGGGAAAAACCCCAAACAATTCCTAAATATTGGTCTTCAAAAAAAAATGAGTTGTTTAGACAACAGGCAAATTCAGAGATTGAGGCTCCCTTAAACCAGTGCTTGGGAATCAAAGATACTGTCAAGACGGCCTGATTTGGGGGCTAAGTGGTTAAGGGCATGTGTTCTTTCAGATGACCTGGGTTCAATATCCTAGCACTCACATGCCTGCTCACAACTGGCCATAACCCCAGCTCCAGGAGAATGGAGCTCCTTGTATCCTGGTATCCTTGAGGATACCAGACACATTTGTGGTACACAGATATACATGCAAACTAAACATGCATACACATAAGTCAAATAAACCTTTAAAACTTGGCTGATTCAGTCAGGTGGTGGTGGCATACTCCTTAATCCCAGCACTCGGGAGGCAGAGGCAGATGGATGGACCTCTGAGTTCGAGGCCAGGCTAGTCTACAAAGTGAGTTCCGGGACAGCCAGGGCTGTTATACAGAGTAACCCTGTCTCAAAAAACAAAATACAAAATAAAACAAAAAAAATTGACTGATTCTATCCTTCTCTTCCCCTCTTCTGACATAGCCCAGGTTGGACTTCAACCAGGGTTTCCCTGTATTAGCCTACTGAATGCTGGCATTACAGGCACACACCACCAAAACTGACAGCATTCCTGGCTTCCACAACACTTTTCTTCTCTTTTCACTTCCTAGGCTGCAGACTCTCTTGGTTGATAACAAAGGGCTTCTGGAAGCTTCCTGGATTTGGCCAACTGGTACGCTGTCTGAGGTCCCCTCTAACTCACTACTTTCAGGAGCCCAAGCTGTAGGAAAGCTGCTGCCTTTGGAGAATGGCTGTTTCTGGACATGGGTTCTATTGTCAATACTTCCAGAGCCTTGCTTTGCCTATTTTTCTTTTGTTTTCTGGGCTGCTCAGATATAGACCTAACATGCTCCTTCCTTCCTTCCTTCCTTCCTTCCTTCCTTCCTTTCTTCCCTCCCTCCTCCTCCTCCTCTTTCTTTCTTTCTTTCTTTCTTTCTTTCTTTCTTTCTTTCTTGTTGTCTCCATTCTTTCCCAAAGTCTCCTGCTGGATCATGGGTCTCACTCTCTGTACTCAATGGTTAAGTATGGCCCTATGTCCTACCAGTGTCTGTCTCGCTCCCTTGTCCAAGGTCTGGTACACTGTTCCCAAACCTCAAACAAGGGACTCAAACCTGTTGCTGGCTGACTGCCAAGGAGACTTGTCCAGTCTTAGATATCCCTCTGCTATGCTGCTCTAGGTAGTTAAGGTGTCCCCAGACAAAGCCTTCCCAATCTGACCCATCCTTCTACATACACTATGAGTGGCCAGGAAATGCCCTATCTCCTTCTAACAGAAGGAACAGTGTGGATCCCAAGCAAAGTGTAACAGCATGAGAAGGCAAAGAGGCAAAGGCCTCTCTGAAAAGCTCCGTGAGAGTTTAACCTCTGAAATGTAGCTCTTTTAGAGTATTTCACATGTAAAACACAGAAGTGTTCATGTCTCCACATTTAAGCCTGAGTATTGAAAAGAAGTGCCATCAGAAGTCAAACATAAGGAACACGGGATTGCCATGCCCTGTGTCCAAACAGAGAGAGTACCATCAGCATGGAAGGGGGTGAGGAGGAGAGGGGGAGGGGAGGAGAGGAAGGGGAAGGGGAGGAGAAGAGAGGAGAAGGAGGGAAGGAGAAGAGAGGGAAGGAGAGGGGAGGGGAGGAGAGGCAAAGACAAAGAAATCAAGCAACAGCTAAGCTAGAGTAAATCGCTCTTCTACAAGAATGCTGAGTTGAAGCTTTAACACCTCGAAGACCAGAGGATTGCCATGATGACCAGCCCATCGGTAAAGCATCTGAGATGCTGCCTCCAAAGTGGGAAGATAAATCTTCCCAGTGCTCTTCCTACTGTCACTAGCACAGATCACATCTGTCTTACCCAGGTCATTATTCTTTGTGATGGCAGCTGCCACTCTTGTCCGTGGCCCTTGCTTGGTAAACTGGTACCCAAACTTGAGGATCCTTGAGTTCTCCTCCAGCATCTGTGCTATCTCCATCTCCACAGCTGTTCCCAACTGCTGCCTCTGGTTGTGAGTGCACACAGATACACACAGGATAAACAGGAAGGGAAAGGAAACAGTTACTTACAGGGGAAAACCTCATGGCTACCTCCACAAAAATGTTCAAACACAAAGGGAGAAAGCCACCTGAGATGTTCTCTCCGATTTAGTCATTAGGTCTGGCTCTTAATCTAGAAACAGAATGCAGACAGCCCAAACTGCTGGTATTCAAAAATAAAAAGCAAAACCAACCAAGCAAACAAACAAACAAAAGCATCAAAAACAAGAAGTCAGGCTGGGGAGATGGCTCAGTGGGAAAAGTGCTTCCATGCACACATGAGGCTCTGAATTTGGATGCCCAGACCCATGTTATAAAGTCAGGCATGATGACATGAACCTATAACTCCATAGTGGTGTGTGTGTGTGTGTGTGTGTGTGTTTGTGTGCACGTGTGCATGCACAAGTGCATGCAGAGATAGGTAAATCCCAGAGGTCACTGGTCAACCAGTCTAGTCAATCAGCGAGCTCCAGGTCCAGAGGCAGACCCTGTTACAAAAACTAAATGTATGGTGGGATGTTACAACAAGAAGACACCTGACATCAACCTTTGACCTCCACATGCACACCCATGTATTCACACACTCACATGCATATGAACACACACATAATCAACAACAGCAAAAACCCAACAGCAAACAAGAAATCCTTTGTGAAGAAAAGATGAACTGGATGCATGACTATAACTGCAGGACTTGGAGACTAAGCCATGAAGATCTTCAAGGCTAGCCTGTGCTAACCAATGGGATTGTCTCAAAAACAAATATGTGACACAAAACAAATTCCTGAGTGAGTTTAAGCAAAACTGATAGTTGTTCTTCCAAGTCACTCGGTGCTAATGGGATTAAAGTAGTGGGAAAGTCTGGTAGCCATCATTCAAATACTGAATCTGTAATAATTAAGATCTAGGCTGGAGAGATGGTTCAGCAGCTACGAGCACCTGCTATTCTTCCAGAAGTGCTTTATTTGATTCCAAGCACTTATATTGGGCAGCTCTCAACCTCCTGTAACCCTAGAATCAGATGTCTCTGACCTCTGACCTCTGGCACACACACCATTAAAAATAATAAATAAGTTAAAGATACTCATCAATGGCCTCTAAGTAAGAGCAAGCCTCAGTGTCTGGTCAGGGCCACCTCCACTTTCTTTCCATTCACAGTCTCCATAAGAGGCAAAGTCAAGGCTGGGGTAGTGCTGGGTAGTCAGGCTACAGGGTAAAAGAATGAAAAGCAGCTGGCAATACCCTGATGCCTGGCAAGCTTAGGGCATGGGTAGCTGGCTCTTTGTGGGTGCACTGGCCTGCCATGAAGTTTATTTAAGAACATGCTCTGAGGCTGGGGAGAATGCTTAGTCAGTAAAGTGCTTGTGACACATCATGAGGACCTGAGTTCAATCCCTGCATTTGTAATACCAGCGCTGGGAGGCAGAGACAAGTAAAAAGGTAGCTGACTTTACATGTACACATGCATGTGTGCACACACACACACACACACACACACACACACACACACACACACACACACACACACACGCACGCACGCACGCACGGGGGTGGGGGGAGGAGAGGGAGAGGAAGAGGGAGAGGGAGAGGGAGAGGGAGAGGGAGAGGGAGAGGGAGAGGGAGAAGGAAAGGGAGACAGAGACAGAGATGGAGAGAGAATATACGCTTCCTCCATGGGCCAGAAGCTGTTAAGGTTTGTAGGACAGCCAGAAGAACCACCAAGTCCACACAGAGCTTTGAGCTTTAGCCCACTCCCCAGGGGTCTCCCCGCTCCAAATGGACTGTCTAAGATGTAAGCTAGCTTGCCTTTGCTCCCCTTCTGTACCTGGTTGTCAATCTTGATCTCGGTCAAGGTGTCATTCTCCTTCAGGGCTTCCACCAGGGCCAGGATTCCAGCGCCAGTGATGAAATTGGATTCTATGTTTAGACTTTTCAAGGTCTTGTTGACTTTTAGCATATCTGCAAAAGCCTAAGTGGTCAGAAACAGTTATTAGGGTTTCTAATGATTGGTTTTATGAACATCTCTCCCGAATAAAAAAATAGTTTTATAGCACTTAAAGAAAAACACTTTCATCTCCAATTAAAATTAAAAGTTAGAGATGTAGTTAAAAATTAAAATAGGGTTGAGTGGTAGTGGTGACAACTTTAATCCCAGCACTCTAGAGGCAGATCTCTATGAGTTTGAGGCCAGCCTGATCTACAGAGACAGTTCCAAGACAGCCATGGCTACACAAATAAAAAGAAAAGAAAAAAAATTACAATAGCTTAGTAGAGGCTGGAGAGATGACTCAGTGGTTCTGAGCACTGGCTGCTTTTCTGGAAGACCTGGGTTTGATTCCCAGCATCTACATGGTGTGTGTGTGAGTGCACGTTTTCTCTTATTTTAAATTATTTGTTTTATGTATGGGTGCTCTTCTTGCATGTAAGTCTGTGTACCATGTGTATGCCTGAGCCAGTAGAGACCAGAAAAGGGTGTAGGATCACCTGGAACTGGAGTTACAGACAGTTGTGAGCACCATGTGGGTGCTGGGGAACAAAACCTCTGAAAGATCAGCCAGTTCTCTTAACCACTGAGCTCTCTCCAGCCTCTGTTTATTGTACTTTCTATTCATATGTCCTTTTCAGAAGCCAGCAATGTCTGTAACTGAGGTTGAACACAAAGTGCTGATCTTCCTGTGTCTACCTCTCAAGAGCTGAGACTACATACTCACTAAATGAACACATTTATTTATTTGTTTGTTTGCTTATTTATTTATCTATTATGTATACAGTGTTCTGCCTGCATGTATACCTGAATGCCAGAAGAGGGCACCAGATTTCATTATGGATGGTTGTGAGCCACCATGTGGTTGCTGGGAATTGAACTCAGGACCTCTGGAAGAGCAGCCTGAGCCATCTCTCCAGCTCCCAAATGAACACATTTTAATACTAGTTTAAAGTGTTTCAGTACCAAGAAATTCCAAAAACATACATATAATTGGTGCTGCGGAGATGGTTCACAGCACTTGCTGCTCAGTCATGAAAACAGGTGTCCAGATCCTAGCATCAAGAGGTTCACAAACACCTGGAAGTCCAGCTCCAAGGGATCCAATGCCCTCTTCTAGCTTCCATGAGTGCCCCCACTCTCATGTGTCCATACCTTTACTTAGACACATACATAGACACACATACAATGATAACATCTAAATAAATTTAAATATCAATATACATATAAAATTTCAAGTATATTTTGATCCCACCTAGATGAATATGAACTGAGTCACGATCTCGAAGGCTGTGGCTTGACCTTCTGCTCCTCGAGTGAATAAACAGTTGATTGGCAGCCACTTTAATTAAAGTCTTAAAGGCAATAAGTAGAAGAATGAAAAACAAATTGCTAATAGTGATTGCTTCTAGGGAGTAGACCAAGGAAGTTCTAAACTATTTTAATTATCTTAATGGCAGTTAGGACAGAAGAAGGAAGAGAAGGAATTCCATATGACTTGGAATTTCTCAGCCTTGGCATGGCTAAGACCTGGGTCTGCAGAGTTCTATGCTATGGGTGTCCTGTGTACTGTAGGTCTGTTCCCAGCCTCTCCAGTTTCTGAGACCTAACACATGCCAGTAGTACTGTCCTCATCACAACAACCCCAACCGTCTCCTGCCACTGCTGCCTTAGTGAGCTGAGAATCACTAGGGCAGAATAAAAATCCTGTGCATTGACAGTTGTTTGAACTGAAAACCCAGGGATATGAGCTGATGGCATGGCATACTATGCAATTCAAGGTATATTTAGTCAATATCGGGGAGCTCTCCCTGTCTCTGTTTTGATTCTGATTTATGGAGACAGGGTTTCCCTGCATAGACCTGGCTGTCCAGGAACTTGCTCTGTAGGCCTGACTGGCCTTGAACTCAGAGATCTGTTTGCCTCTCCCTCCCAAACGATGGGATTAGAGGCGTGCACTACCACACCCAGCTTAATACTTGATCTTAAAGTTAAATGTACACATTTTAATCAGAGCAAGAGAAAGGAGTTTGGCAAGCCTTTCCTTATGGGACACACCAGCTTTGGCATAAAACTTGCAGTTCCAGAATAGTGAAATGTCAGAGCAATTAGTTCTTTACAAAAACTTGCAGGGCCTCCTGGCAGGCAGCCAAGATCATGCTGCTTTATCTTAAACTTGAGAAAACACTTTTTTTCCCCCTCAAACTGAATAAAATGGAGCACACACAGCCAAACATAACTTGGAGTTATTACACACAAATTCACTTCAGTTCAGCAAATATCTGAGCATCTATTCCATGTGCTGGGGTAATAATGTCAGGAAAGCATAGATATGATTTCTTAAATGTTATATAAATAATTAGAGTAGAAATACATGTCTCAAAAAAAAAAGATTTGCTTTCTGTACTCTATGGGATTATACAAAAGCATAATTTCCTGGGGCTAGAAAGATGTCTCAGCAGTTCAGCACACATGCCGCTCTTGGTGAGGACCCAGGTTCAGTTCCCGGCACCCACATCAGGCTGTTCAAAACCACCTGTAACTCCAGCTCCAAGAGCGGGACTTCATGAACACCTGATCTCACACAAGCATGCACGAGCACGCGCGCGCACACACACACACAAATGTGCAATTTAATTAAAAATTAAAATAAATCTTTTAAATATAACAGAAACCAGAATACATAGCTTCCCTGCTGACCAAATGGAAGCCACAAGAAATATAGCTGCTAAGCCTTTGAAAGATAGCTAGTTTGAACTGATGTGCTATAAATATTTTATGCCATGGACTTCAAAGATGAAATATGAATTAAAGAATATGGAATACCTCATTATAGTTCCAAATTAGATACACCTACATGTATCTATATATACTTATATTTTTAACATTTATTTTATGTATATGGGTGTTTTGCTGGGAAGGATGTCTATGCACCATAGGCATGTGGTACCCAAGGATGACAGAAGAGGAGGACATCAGATCCCCTGGAGTTACAAGTGCGTGTGAGTTGTCTGAAGTAGGTGCTTTAATTAACACAGGTCCTCTGGAAAAGTCACAAGCACTCAGAACTGCTGAGCCATCATCATGCCTGGACAACTTTGTTTTTCTAGTATGACTTGAGAGCTGAGTGACTGATGCTGTAGACTCTCAGGCCGATTCCCAGAATCCCTATCAACAACAAATTGTAGCCGATGAACCTCAGCAGGGCTCTGTGTATAAATGTAGCAGAATGTAACCAGAAAGACCTGTTGGTGACTCTTGGTTCTATCATTCCTTGCTACACATGGGATAATCTAATCTCTTTTTTGTTACAGTGGGAACTAACAACGGCGCTTGCACACTCAGAGCTCTCCAGTGATGAATGGGTGAGGCAATGCATGAAAATCTGAGCTATTGGTACTGCAGTCACTAATTCCTCAGGAAACTGGCTTGGAATTAGGAAAGCAGACAAGAGGAAGAACAGTGATGCTATGGCAGTAACAGCATTTACTTGGGCTAAAGCTTTCCTGTTGAGCTGAATTACCTAAAATGCATAAAAGGACTAGGAGTCTGGTTGCTTTCCTTCCCATATTCTAATTAACTGAATGTCAAACAAAATGGTTCAGTATTTTGGTTGTTTAAAGTATGCTTGGAAAATTAACCCACATAAAGATTAAGATAAAATCTACTCTGACTTTTTCTTTTTATATGTGCCAAGCTCAAGTAGGCTTTTGGGACTATAACATCCAATGACTGCTACAGAAAGTTACCGTAGAAACAAATGTTTCAGAATGGCTTTTTTCAACACAGAACAAACTCTAAATATTTATTTAGCTAAATGCCAAGATGCTTGTCTTGTTTCTTTTTTGGAATGTGCAGCACTGAGAGAATCCAGTTAATTCATTATGCTTGCAGTATATACCGGCTCTGAGCTTGTGCCTCAGAACTGTAAATTCATCAGATTAAGTTGACCAGATCTAAGACTTTTGATTGATAAAATAAATTAAAACGAATCTCTAACAGCAAGGAGTGAGGATTTTATGCCTAAAATCAGCACTAGGCAAGCTGAGGCAGGAGGATTTCTGGGAATTCAAGGCCAGTCCAAGAAACATAGTGAGTTCAAACCCAGGCCACATAGCAAGAGCCTATCTCAAGACTACTAAAAGCAAAGTTAGATAATTTTAAAGAATAAGAACAAAACTAAAAATAGAGTCTCCAGTGAATTAAATGACTTCATACTGTATTTCAAGTCTTACTTACAAGGGCCACAGGGTCATTGCTGCGGGTTGCAGCTAGGCTGAACTTCTTCACATGGGTGTTGGTCTCCAGAGCCTTTGCAAATTCCTTCAGGGTTGGAATTGGAATGTTCTAAAGCAGAGAAGACAGGGCCAGTTATAAACCACTCACAACACACTCACCCTCAACTTGAAAATATTTTTCATTTTGGATTGGACCCAGAGTCTCACATGTGCTAAGCATGAGTTCTGACCTCACTGTCAGCAAGCCCTCCCCACCCCTAACTTTTAACTATCACCTATTTTTTAGATGGCTGATTACATATCCTTTTTAGTTTTATTGCCCAGGTGTGAGGTAACTAATTAAGTCTGAGTGAATAGCGCCTCTTAGTGCCCAGTAAAGGAATGTGACACAAAAGGTTTTTCTTTTTTCTTCTCATGGTAGCAACTATGTTCTAGAACATGTCTCTCATAGACATATCCTTAGATGTGCTTTTCTCCTTGGCCTGAAAATTCCTGCTGCCTTTTCCTCTAATTATTATATTATTATACCTATTGTAAGTAAAGACTGGATGGATGTTAACTGGGTCTCTGGGAACCCAGGCTGACTTCAATCTGGCCTCAATTTCACTATGTGGCCAAAGGTCCCTTGAACTCAGGGTGATTCCCCTGCTTCTACCTCTACCAGGTGGAGTCTCTGCCCACAGCCACATGGGCATACCATGATGGAAATAGAATCTTTGGATACAATGTGTGAGCAACCACATTTGTTTACCATTCTTTCTTTTCTTTTTTAGATTTATGAATTGTATTTTATGAGTGTTTTGCATGCGTGTAGAGATGTGTGCTTGCACTCTTTCTCACAGGTCACACAGCACAGAGCTGATTGCCATGGAAGGAAGCAACAGGCAGCAAGGGGCAGCAATGGACACGCACCAGGCTGCATTGTGGACAAGCTGAGTGACTCTGGCAACTTAACCTCTTCAAGTCTCACTGAAAATTAAACAAGATAATGAATTTTAAGCAGCCAAGGACATAACACAGTGTGCACTCAACAAAAGCAATATTACTGGGGCTGGAGAGATGGTTCAGTGGTGAAGGGCACTTGCTGTTATTGCAGAGGACCTGGGTTCAATTCTCAGCGTCCATGTTGGGTGGCTTACAACTACCTGACTGTCATTCCAGGTGATCCAATGCTCCCTTCTGACCTCCAGAGGCAACTTCACTCGTGCTCATAACCACACACAGACACCTCTAAACATAGTTAAAAATATATCTTTAGAAGTGACATTAAATGTTGGGAACCACCCAACAAGAACGAACAAAACAAGCCAGGATAATGGCATGGGTCTGGAATACCACCTTTAGGGAGGTAATGGTAGGAAGATGGAGAATTTGAGATCAGCCTGGTTTACACAGCAAGTTTAAAGAGGTTAAAGCCTGTCTTGGAAACACAGTGAAACCTTGCCTCAAACTAGCCACCCAACTAATCAACCAGCCAACCAACTACCTGAAGAGAATGAATAAAACAAGCCTTAGTCAATTCATATTTGTTCATGTTCCTCCTCTCTTCCCTTCTCTTCCTGCCTTCAATAGCAACATGACATCAAACATGGTCCATGAACTAAACTGTGGGAGTAGACTTCTGGGACTTTGTGAGAAAACTCCAAATAAACAAGACAAGAGTCTTGTAATCTCTACTCCTCCATAACGTGGTTCTTCTTGGAATGTGCTTTCGAACCCTCCCAGGTAGAGGGCACAGAAGTGAGTTTACTTCAGATTATTCATTACAACTGGCTATGTGCTTATATGCCTCTAAAGAAAAAAAAAAAAAAGCCTGTGTTTGCGACCTGTGGCTTGTCCTTGTGATTGTACACTTTACTCAGGTGACTCTTCTTAACATTCAGAGTACAAACTGTCTGATGCTCTGAATAAAGTTGGCTATTGCATGCGACTTTAGTAAGGCTCATTTTTAGGCACTACTTCCCTATGTTCATATTGGCATGTAGAGTGGCAAGAACATGACAGAAAAAAGTAGAAATGACAATGACAGTCCATGACTTCAGACACCAGGTCATGGAAAATACTCTTATGCTTTTCTTGCTTTTTACAGGTTTTTGTTGTTGTTGTTGTTGTTGTTTTGAGACAGGGTTTCTCTGTGTAGCTTTATGGACCAGGCAGGCCTCAAACTCACAGAGATCCGTCTGCCTCTGCCTTCCTAGAGTGCGGGGATTAAAGATGTGCACCACCAGTGCCCAGCTTCTTGTTATTTTTAAAAAGTGTTTATTTTAGTCTTTAAGTGTGTGTGTGTGTGTGTGTGTGTGTGTGTAGCTATGTTGTACACGTAAGTATAGGTACCCACAGAGGTCAGCAGTGTTGGATCCCCTGGATCTGGAGTTACAGGTGGTTGTGAGGTAGTTGATGTGTGTGCAGGGAACTGAACTTGAGTACTTTGCAAGAGAAGCAATTGATTCTAACCACTGAGCCTTCACCCCAGTCCAACTTCTTGCTCTTTTATTCTGGGGTCACTTTCTTTGGGGGAAACCAGATGAGATTTTTATGAAGACACTCAAGTAGCCCTAAAAAGAGGGCCCATGTGGTGGGAAAGTGAGGTCTCTTGCCCACAGCCACATGAGCGTTGCCGTCTTAGAAATTAATCCTTTGACTACCTTAGCCTGGACTGGAAGCTTCACTGTAGTCTCATTTGAGCGCCTGTGCCAACGACCCTTTTAAATTACTCTGGCATTCCTGACATTTGAAACTGTGTGAAGGGGCTGGGGATGCAGCTAAGTTGCAGAGTGCTGTGGCACACACAGGAGGCCTTGGATTTGATTCCTAGCACTAGACAAAAAAAAAAAAAAAGTTGAAGTTGCTATGCAGCAGTAGATACAATGTGCTTCTTTTGGCCCAGGTGCTATGATTCTTTTCAGTAAGTTCTAGATATTATTTTTCTTATAGACCCATGTCTTTTGACTAAGTTACTCTGTCTGAAGTCAGTGACTTGAAAAGACTGCAAGCCAGTGTAAATAAAAGCAGGCAGTTAATCCTGGCGGTGGTGGTGCATGCCTTTAATCCCAGAATTTGGGAGGCAGAGGCAGATGGATCTCTGTGAGTTCGAGATCAGCCGGGTCTACAAGAGCTAGTACCAGGACAGCCTCCAAAGCCACAGAGAAACCCTGTCTCGAAAAACCAAAAAAAAAAAAAAAAAAAAGCAGGCAGTTGACAATCCCCAGGCAGCTCTGTGATGCTAGGATAAGCCAAGAGGTAAAGGCAGATGTACCTTAATGTTGTTGAGGTTGACCTCTTGCAGGCTCGGGTCGTTGGCCTTCATCTGCTGCAGACTTGCTTCTACATTTGTGGGGTTTGGTGGTTCCTCAAATACTGGTTTGGCCTTTTCACCTTTGACAACATCTACAACACAAGTTTTAATTTATAAAGGATAGTGCAAGAGGGCCTCTATCAAACTATTGATGACTTCCCTAGAGAGTACCATTCATTCACGTAGAGTCCAACACTCCAACATCAGCAAGAGTAAGTTGATTCTCACTGAGCAGGCAGTGGTGCTTCTCTGGGTTAGTTTTCAAGGAAGATGCTTTTCAGCCCCCATGAAGGGACTCAGTGGCTGACACTACATGAAGTCAAAGTTCAGAAGGCCCTGAAGCAAACTTCAATCCCCAAAACTTTCACTGCAGTTACTGCTGTACCATATGGACTTTCCCCAACTATTTTCACCAGACCATAGTCTCTGAGATGCAAAAATGAGCACCATGAGTGTCTTCATTTCCCACATCCTTTTTCAAAATTCTGTGTCATGATGAGACTTGAACCCAGGACCTACTCAAAGTATATGTTCTACTACTGAGCTACACCTCTATCCCTAGGTTCCAAGTATTGACACTCCTCTGGCTTCTTGATCACTGCTCTCCTCTGATTTCCGTTTTGTAGCTTCAGCTTTGAAAAAGGTGTGGAAAGACCAAGGAATGGAAAAGAAGAATGAAAAAAAATCTTAAAAAACAATTACTGTGGGTTGGAGATGTGGCTCAGAAGTTAAGGGCACTTGCTACTCTTGCAGAGGACTGGAGCTCAGTTCCAATCACCCTCAAAGTGGGTTACAAACAGTTTCAGGGATCTGAAACCCTCTTCTGGCTTCCCCCGGCAATGGATATGCATATGATCATGAAAATAAATATATAAAAGAAATTACTTAAGCCAGATATAGCCAGTACATGGTTGTAATACTAGAAATTGGGAATCCAAGGCAGGAGGATCATGGGTTTGAGGCCAGCCTGCACAGTGAATTTCAGGCCTGTCTCAAAACAAACAAACAAAAAACAATGCATACCAATTTATCAGAAAATATTTGGAATGTATGTAACATACAAAGGATTAATATTCTAATGTACAGAGAGCTTCCCCACCCCACTCCAAGACAGGGTTTCAGTTTGCAGGGTGTCTCTGTAGTCCTGACTATCCTGGAACTCAATCTGTAGACCAGGCTGGCCTTGAACTCAGAGATCTGCCTGCCTTGGCCTCCCTAGTGTGGGATTAACGGCCAGGGTATCCTTCATGCTTTCTGGGGGTATTTAGGCTCAATGACTAGCATTCACTATCAAGACCAAAAACATTAGAATAAAAAAGGGACAATGGCAAGCTTCCCTCTGATAAATATTCTTTGGAACATGGAACTCTATTTGCATTCTGAGCTGACTCTCCAAACTTACCAGGACTTTTCCCCCTCCACGGGACAACCTGCCATGAAATGTGTGTTCTGTGGTTCTAGTCACACTGCCAGGAAGAGTGCCCACCATCGGCTTCTCACTGGGTTTGATTGCTCAGAGCTAAATGGTTCCATCTAGAAGCCATGGGTGTTTCTCCTATAGGCACCAGACAGGCTCTGAAGCTTCCCAAGTCCCCAGATCCCTCATCCACTTACTCCTTACAGGCCCTTTGTGACCTTTGCCATTGGTCGTTTCTTCATCAAATTTCGGATTGTTGAGCAAATTGTGGACTCCAAGGACAGCTGAAAACAAAGACAAGCACTAAGTTTTGAAACACATATCAGGATGGCCACATGTCAATTTGCACCTTAAAGACCAATTCTTTACATAGCATAAAGTCTCTAGGCTCCCTTTCCTGGCACAGTGTGTGGTGTGTGTGTACAGCATTCAATAAACTTACTGCTAAAATCTCCCAAGACCATCCGTAACTCTACATGCCTCTGTGTGTTTAAATGTACAGGATTATTTGGGAGCTGAGAAACAACTGTGAACTGTGTAGCCACATCCTCCAACCACTGAAACACTGCTAGGTCCCCATGCCGGTCATTTATTTATTTATTTTATTGTTTTTTTTTTTTTTTGGGGGGGGGGCAGGGTTTCTCTGTGGCTTTGGAGGCTGTCCTGGAACTAGCTCTTGTAGACCAGGCTGGTCTCTAACTCACAGAGATCCGTCTGCCTCTGCCTCCCGAGTGCTGGGATTAAAGGGGTGCGCCACCACTGCCAGGCTATTTATTTATTTATTTTTAATAAATTTTACTTAAATTAGAAGCAATCTTATTTTACATATCAATCCCAGTTCCCTCTCCCTCCCATCCTCCCATTCCCCCCCCACTGACACCCCAATCCCATCACCCATCCACTCCCCAGAGAGGGTGAGCCCTTCCATGAGGGATCTGCCTCAAAATCTGCCAAGTCACTTGGGGCAGGGCCTAGGCCCTCCCCTGTGTATCTAGTGCTGGTTAGTCTTAACTGTCAATTTGACACAACCTGAAGTCACCTGGAAACAGTCTTGATGAAGAATTATCTAGATTACTCTGGCTGGCATTTATGTCTGTGGGGGGTTGTTTTGATCATTATTGATGTAGAAAGATCTAGCCCCCTGTGAGTGGCATTACTTCATGGGCTGGGTGGACCCTGAACTGGGCAAGAGTGAGGCAGGCCAGGTGCACAGAAGCACTTATGTGTTTATTTCTCTTTGCTCTTGGCTGTGGATGTGATGTGACTAGGGACTTATGTTCCATTATGACTCCCCCTCAATGATGAACTGCAACCTGAAAATGTAAGCCAAATAAATACTTTCCTCCCCTGGATTGCTTAGGTGTTTTATCATAACAAAAGAAATGAAACTAGAATATTCTCCTAGTTAAGTAGACTCATCTGTTTTTTCTTGTTGCTATTATGTTCTCAGGGTCTTGCCTTATTGCCCTAGATAGTCTGAAACTCACTCACTCCTAGGCTGGGCTGACCTCAAACCTGATGTGATCCTCCTGCCTCTGTTCTCTATTGCTGTGGTTATGGATAGGTGCCACCATACCCACCTCCATTTAGTTTTCTTATCCATAAAATAAAAATAAAAAGGTGGGATTCAATCTAAGGATTTTGTTTAGTGTAAAGTTTCACTATGTAACCCAGTCTAGCCTGGAATTCATCATGTATACCAGGTTGGCTTTTTTTTGTGTGTGTGTGGTTTTTTGAGACAGGGTTTCTGTGGCTTTGGAGGCTGTCCTGGAACTAGCTCTTGTAGACCAGGCTGGTCTGAACTCACAGAGATCTGCCTGCCTCTGCTTCCCGAATGCTGGGCTTAAAGGTGCGAACCACTGGCTGGCCTTATATTGGCAGTAATCCTGCTTCTGCCTCCTGCGTGTTGAGATTAACACTGTAACAACATGCCTGACTGGTTTTTAAAGATCTGATGTGTGTAGATTTATGTCTCCACCCCATCCTGAGGCAAAAATAGAAGGATTGTAGCACTCTTTCAGTAGAAAACAGAGTTTCCTTTCTTTGCCTTTGGGAAAGAAGAGGAGGACTATCAGGAACAACAGGTCAGCTGAACATAACAAGGTCTCAGTCCCTGCTGGTACATCGGAACTGGCACTAGGAGGTGGGCATTCAGGGAGCAACACTATGGGCAGGGTGGTACTGGGCAGGTTGAAACAGATTTCTCCTCTAGTGAAATTACAGGGGAGAGGCACAGGCCCCTGAGATCCTGGTTGGGTCTCCTATAAGCTACACTTTAGAAGGGAGGCAGTCATCATGGTACAAAGAGGGGCTAGTGGTTAAGCCAGTAAGAACAGGACTTAGAGGTAGGTGTCTGATGGCACACAGCTGCACTTGAGAAGCAAAAGGATTTCAAGAGGCCTGTGTGGCTACATAGTGAGTTCAAGAGTTCAAGGCCAGCCTGGACAGCCTACACTACATAGTGAGACCCTGTTTTGACAAAACAAGGGCTGGGGTTATAGCTCAGTGGTAGAACACCTGTCTAGCATGCCCAAGGCCCCAGGTTCAATCCTTTGCACTGCAAACGGAGTAACAACAACGATCATGGAGTTAAGGGGTGGGTGGGGATCTGGAACACACAGAGTTTGAACCCTGACTGCCACACCCTAACTGTGTGATCTGGGAAGCCACTAAATGCCCACGGAGTCTGCCTCCTCATTAACCCCAACAGATTGTTAACTTGATTAATGGCTAGTTTAGTAAAGCACACTCAGGGTTCTCTGTGAGCATGTTTTCTGAGGAGATTCACTAGGGGGAGAAGCCTTGCTCTGAATGTGCCTGGCACCGCCCTATGAGGGGAAGACAGGAGGAAAGGAAGAAAGAACCATTGGCACACCTTTGAACTGCTTGCCTTTCTACATGCTACCTTCCATCTCTCCTGAAGTTGCCATGAGACCTTCCACTTACAGGTTATTTTCAGTCTTCTAGAAAGATCCACCTGAGAGAAGATGCTGTGTGTTTTCCATCCCCAGAGAAGGCTTTCTAAGGGAGTGTCAGATCAGAAAGGGAGCTGAGTGAGGAGAAACAAGGAGTTTCTATCCGCATTATCTCCCTGGATTTATTACATGGGCTCCAGGATCAGGCATCTTCATAAGATTGCTTTTTTCCTTTCTCCTTTCTCAGGTGCTTCCTGGGAATCAAGTGCTACCCTTCATTGTTTCTTTGGGCAATTCCAGTAAAACTTGTGGGCAACCCTTGGAAAAAGCAGTAACTATGGAGGGATCTCCATAGTAACCACAGGACCAAGATGCCCAGTCACTGCAAAATACCTTTCTCACCAGGTGACTCAGATGCTACAGAGACCTCTGACAGACATACAGACACATGAATCTGATGTCATCAGAGATGGATGAAAATGTGCGGAGATGGCAGCCATATTAGAATAAGGCAGAGCAGGCACCCCTCCCCCTAGGAAAGAGATTTCTATAAACATCTTCTAATGGAATAAGAATCAGTGTTCTGGGGCTGGGAAGCAGCTAAATCGATAAACAACTTCACTTGAAAGCACAAGGACTTGAGTTAGCAGCCCAGAGCTTAAGTAAGAAAATGCAAATCAGCTGTGGTGGTGTGCACCTGAGATCACAGTACTGGGGAAGTAAAGTCAGGCAGGGCTTTGGGCTCAACAAGTAAAGGCACTTGCTACCCTACAGTGCAAGGTAGATGGCTTGAGTTTGAGCCTCAGAACCCACATAAAGGTGCAAGAGGGAATCAGCTCCATGAAGTTGTCCTCTGAAATGTATGTACATACTGAGACTAGCCATGACTCCTGATCCTCCTGCCTCCACTCCTGAGTGTTGGGATTAAGAACACACACCACCATACCTAGCTCTTGTTCTAGATTTTTTTTTTTTAAGTCAGGGTTTCACTATGTAGCCCACGCTACTCTTCAAATGAACTCACCCATCTACATTACACTATTTTTGTTTGTTTGTTTTGTTTTTGCTTTGAAAAAGGACTTAATTTGGGGGGAAAGCTTTGGTTTTCATTTCTTTTGTATTATTTGATTTCTTTTAATCTTCATGGTAGTTTGAATGCTAATGGCTACCATGGACACATTTGTTTGAGCTGGTGGAACTGTTTGGGAAGGATTAGGAGGTGTGGCCTTGTCAGAAAAGGTGTGTCATTGGGATAGGCTTTGAGGTTTCAAAAGACTCATTCCCAGTGTGCTGTTTCTCTGCCTCCTGCTTTTGGATCAAGATGTGAGTATTCAGCTGTTCCTGCTGCCATGTCTTTGCCTTACCACCATAGACTTTTACCCCCTGAAACCAAAGCTCAATTAAACACTTCTTTTACAAGTTGCCTTGGTCATGGTATTTTTGTCACAGCAACAGAAAAGTAACTAATACAATCTACATGTAAAATCAATTGCAATAACAATCCTGTTATCATTGTCATGTTTTGCTTTGTTAAGGAAACTAGAAGGCTAGCTGACCTCCTGGCACGAATCAGCTTGTAATGGCAATTGCGAGGGAGACCAAGAATTCCACAGAAATGTGATCATGAGGCCAGCTGGTGAAGGCGCACACCTTTAATCCCAGCATGCAGGAGGCAGAGGCAGGCAGATCTGAGTTAGAGGCCAGCCTCGTCTACAGAGCAAGATCCATGACAGTCAGGTATACACAGGACAACTATATTCAAAAAACAAAAACAATGGAACAAAAAGAAATGTAACCACGAGATGTGTGAAGTCTGTAAGTGCATTTTACTTTGGAAGTCCCTGGGAAAGCACATGGGGATATTATTTCATTCATTTTTAATTTCTAAGTTTGTTTTCTTTTTGTGAGATAGGCTCTCAATTCTGTAGCCCAGGCTGGGCTCAAACTCAAAATAATTCTTTTGTTTCCACCTTTTTTTTGTTTGTTTGTTTTTGTTTTTTGAGACAGGTTTTCTCTTTGTAGCTTTGGAGCCTATACTGGAACTCACTCTGTAGACCAGGCTGGCCTCGAACTCACAGAGATCTACTTGTCTCTGCCTTCCTGAGTGCTGGGATTAAAAGCGTGCACCACCAACACCACCACAACTACCACTACCACCACCACCCGCTGTCTCAGCCTTTAGAGTGCTGTTGCTACTATTTCAGGTATGGGTCACCATACCTAGCTTTCAATTTTATTTATTTATTTATTTTTGGTTTTTTGAAACAGGGTCTCCCTGTGTAGTTTTGGAGCCTGTCCTGGAACTAGCTCTTGCAGACCAGGCTGGTCTGGAACTCACAGAGATCTGCCTGCCTCTGCCTCCCAAGTGCTGGGATTAATGGCGTGTGCCGTCACTGCCGGGCTCTCAATTTTATTTCTTTTAAGCTCTCAATTCTATTTCATATATGTTCTCCTCCATTTATCACAGGAGTCTTGTAGGATGGGCATCATCTGAACAACAGAGTGGTTTAAAACATGGCTCACTCAGCCACAGGATCCAGTCTTGATAGAACAGGGCTGCAGCCACCGGGGGCAGCACAGTACTCACCAGCTACCAGAAGCTCCGAGGTTTGCACCAGGGGAGTGAGTGACACCTGGAGGTCATAAGCCAGCCCTGAGAACTAACCTGCAAGATCGTAGAGTTCAGTGTCAGAGGCGCTGGCCAAGGCTTCTTCCAGTTCTGGGTCCAGAGTTACTTTCTCTTCTTTTGGAGCTTCTACAGGCTTTTCTTTGGGGATAAACACTCTCCCTTTAAATTAGAAGAAAAGCAAAGATGACTGCGCTATACTGCCTTACGGGTAGGGCTAACAGACTGAACAGAAAATGCAACGTTGGTGTGAAAGACCAATGTTGTGTTGGTGGTGGTACACACCAGCACTGGGTAGACAGAGGCAGGCGGATCTCTGAGTTCCAGGCCAGCTTGGCCTACAGAGTGAGTTTCAAGACAGCCAGCACTGTTACATGAGAAACCCTGTCTGGAAAATCAAACAACAACAACAAAACAACAACAAAAAAGACTCCTATCATTGAGCTATTTTGTATCATTTGAGGTTCCTGGACTGATGGGATAGAGCTTAGCCTTTGGGATAAGAGGAACCCTGCCTCTTACCACACAGAATTCCCCTGAGCTATACTCTTAGCAGCTAAGCGTCTTCTAATGGCTAGCATTGTCAACTTGACAGGATCTAGAAAAGACAAGTCTCCAGGCTTGTTTATAAGGGACTTTCTAGACTTGGTTGAGAAGACCCCCCCTAAATGTGGGTAGCTCCAATCTGTGGGCTGGGATCCTGGAAAAGGAGAACTCGAGCTGAGTGCCAGCATCCATCTGTCTGATTCCTGACTGTGGATGCAAAGGGAGCCTCTGTCTTAGGCTTCCACGGCCATGCCTTCTCTGCCACAGTGGGCTGCCCACTTGAACTGTGAGGCAAGATAGACCCATCATTCCTTAAGGGCTTTTGTCAGGCATTTTGTCACAGCAAAGAGAGAGTGACTAATCCACCAGCCATCTCCCAAGCTACAGGATGTGACTTTGTGCACCTTTTATACTCAGATAGCTCTAGCCTACCCTAACCCCATGGCCACAGCCTCCTGCAGATGAACCTGGATCCAGGAGATAATTTGCTAAAGCCACTCCTCTCTTTAGAGAAGAAATGACAAAAACTTTTTCCCCTTAGTAGTCTGTCATTATCAAACACACAATTTGGGGAAATTTTATTGAAGATATTTTACAATTCAGTTTATGCTTGTCACAATTTGTAAGTCCAAGAGCAACTGTGTTACCATAGAAACAGCTCATACTCCACAGTAACCCACGTCTGTTTACCTGACTCATCACTCATCAACTCTTCTTAGTTTCCTTCTTAGTGGCATGTGACCCATCAGAGGTGCACAGCACAGAGGGAGGGACAGGGATAATGCATGCTCAGTGCCTTCTTACTTGCCACTGAATACAGGCTTAAAGACCACCTCACTAGAGCTCAGAGGAAGGAGAACCTCCTCCATGTCACCCAGTTCCACTAGGGGTTCTCAGGCTGATACACAACCACCAGAGTCAACAGCAAAATGATGAATATGGTCACAACAGGGTTATGAAAGCAATGCCCAGGTGCCATGGTAGGAAAAAGGAGTGATTACAGAGAAGGGTTGGGGAAATCTAGCATTTAAGCTGAGAGCTTCCTGATTTTTTTTCTTTTAATGGGGATATGGGTCAGAGAGAAGAGGCAATGAGAAAATTAAGTTGGGTTGGACAAGTTTGGGAAAATGAACGGAGAGCTGCAGCCTAGAGGCAGTGGAGGCTAGACCCATACTGAGGTTGCTGCAAGAATTTAGGACATTACGTAGGAAGCATGCCTGAAATTCCAGCATTGGAGGGAGGTAAAGTCAGGAACAGCATGAATTAGGAACTTATTAGGCTATTTCAGGAGCCTATTGAGGCAGGAGCTGGGAGGGAAAGTGGAAGGGGGAAGAGGGAAGGGGGAAGGGAGGGAAGGAGAGAGAAAGGAAGATAGGGGAGGGAAAGAGGAGAGGAGGGAAGAGGGGAGGGTTCTAGCATGAACTTCATAGCCTGCCCAGTTACATCCCTGTGGGTCCAGGCTCTGCCACAGAGTTCTGTACCAGGGAGGTTCTCAGTAAATGTGAGATGAACGAGTGACAGACAGGCTTTTCATCATGGCGTCCAAGGTTAGGGACAGAGTAGAAAGATACACAAAAGGCTGAGGGAAACACACCATTGCCTATGCAACTCATTCAGGTAGGGCGCTACTTTATATTTTCAAAGCTTTTCCTTGAGACTTTGAAAAATTTTTTTAGCAGAATTAATTTCAGAACCATTACATCCCGTGTATTCATTTAATTAATCACATATCCTGCCATGCTTTTTTTCTTTTAAACAAATGAACTTTAATTTTGAGAACAGCATTAGGCTTACATCCAAATTAAGCAGAAAATTCTCACGTATCACTCCCACCCCAAACCTCCCACTAACATCCCACATATAGTGTGCCAAAGAACCCATAAAGACCCATCGTCATCACCCATGAGCTATGGTTTACCTTAGGGCTCACTCTGGGTGTTGTATCTACCAAGTAGTGTTCTAAAATACCACAAGTAGTTATCTCCTATTCCCAGGTCATCTCCTTTAATTGACATTCCATAATAGGTTAAGGGCACTTTGTCTTAAGAGGTGCAGTCTGTAGGCCTTACCTTTTTTTTCCCCTGTGAAGGGCACAAAGTCCTCCCTGTCTTTCTGTTCCAAAGCCTCCTTTTCCAGATACATGAGGAGGTGCTCTCGGTCAAATGGGCCAGTGGCTGCTTTCTGGGTCTGGTCTTTCTGTCGGAATCCAGCCGGTAGCATTGCACTCTGATAAGACAAGTAAGAGATGAAGGGAAGATGTGTGCTGGACAGGGTTTGCTATTTCTTTACTCTTTTGCACTTGCTGTAAGAGGGAATGCATGTGACCAAGGGCTAGGGTCTCTACGATGGCTCTAGGGATGTGCTTGTTCTAAACTCCTTTGCTAAGGGAGGAAACCCAACCCGTTCAAGAGGCATAGCAACATAAGCAGCAGCCTCTGGACCTTCTGCAGCTGCCTTCTAGAATGTGGAGAGAAAAGGTCTTTCTGTGTCCATCATGATTAGGTTTGGTCAGGTAAGCACACAATGGCTCCTAAGTCTGGAGTCTGGATGGCAACACTCACTAACTTCTAATTTGTATCCTCCAGACACAACCAAGAGGTAAAGAGATATTATGGTATATGCTAATATCTGCCCAAGTAAGATTCATTTATTTGTCTTCTCAGACACAGTCTCATGCAGCCCTGGCTGACCTCAAAGTGAGGTGAGCCTTGACTCCTGAGCCTCCTGCCTCTACTTCCTGAGTGCTGGGATTGAGAACAAGTGTCAACATGCCCAGCTCCTGTTCTAGGTTTTTTCTTTTTCTTTTTTGCCCAATAAAGTCTCACCACACAGCATTGGCTATTCTAGAACTCACTATGTAGTCCAGGCTAGCTTTGAACTCTCAGATATCTGCCTTCTCCTACCTCCCAAGTATTGGGATTAAAGAAGTGTGCCACCATGTCTGGCTTTACTTTAGATTTTTAAATCAAGGTCTCACTTTGTAGCCTATGCTGCCTTAGAACTCACTATGTTAGCTGGGCAGTGGTGGTGCATGCCTTTAGTCCCAGCACTTGGGAGGCAGAAACAGGCAGATCTCTATGAGTTCAAGGCCAGCCTGGTCTACAGAGAGAGAGGGTTCCAGGACAGGCTCCAAAGCGACACAAGGAAACCCTGTCCTCGCAATCTCCCTCAGCCTCCCAAGTGTTGGGATGATAGACATGTGGGATTATGTCCACCTGTTCTAATTAAGCCCCAAGATTCCTTTCTTATAAGTATAAAAATATTGTACTGAAAAATGTAAATACCCAAAGTACCTGGTACAGCAGAATGTCATATAGATAGTTTTTTTTACTTATATCTTTAGAGTTAAATCACCATTTTGGATGCCTCCAATTTTAAGTTTAAGATAAAGTCATCAGGGCTGAAGAAAATACTTGCTAAAGAAATGCTATAATGAGCTACCAAGCTGTTTAAGAATTGACAAAATATCTAAAAACCTCCCTAAATTTACTTGGTGTTATGAGGATAATTATTTACACACTGGAACAGAATTTCAAGTTATTTATATATTTGAACAAAATAATAGCAGTTGTGGTAGCACATGTACTCCCAATACTTTGGAGGTAGAGATTGAACAATCAGAAATTCAAGGTTATCCTTGCATACATAATGAGTTTGAAGCCAGTCCCTGCTACTTGAGATGCTGTCTCAGGAAATAAAAACAAAAAACCAAGAAGAGAAAAAATATGATGTAAAGCCAGACATCAGACATCGTGTTCCATGCTTGTATTTAACACTTAGGAGGCCAGTTTGGGCTACACACTAAGTTCCAGGCCAGCCTTAGCTACATGGTGAGATTCCATCTTTAAAAAAAAAAAAAAAAAAGAAAGGAAGAAAAAGAAAAAGAAAATCAGGGTTGCTAGTGGTGTTACATATATTTAATCCCAGCACTTGGGAGGATCTCTATGAGTTTGAGACTAGCCTAGGCTACACAGTGAGACCTGCCTTCAAAAAAAAAAAAAAAAAGGCTGGCTAGTGTGGTGGCTCATGCCATGTCCAACACTTGGGAGGTAAAGACAGGAGGGATTCAAGGTCATCCTCAGCTATGTAGTGAGTCTGCAGCCCACCTAGGCTACAAGACCCTGTCTCAAGAAACACAAATAAAAACAGGGCCTGGGGCTGTAGCTTAGTTGGAGTGCTTGCTTCACTTGTATAAATCCCTGGGTGAAAGTGCTAACATGCTGAAATCCCAGCACTTGGGAGGTGGAGGCAGGAGGCAGGAGGCAGGTGCAAGGTCATCCTCAGCTACATAGTGAATAAATCCTGGAGTACATGAGACCCTCTCTCACAAGACAAAAACAATGAAAGAAAACAAAACCCTAAGAAACTGCACCACAGAGGTGTTTTCACCAGTATCTGGGGCATTTACCAGTGTGGGATCCCGTGTGGGTCACGCCTGTAAGTGTGCCTTCTCTTTATGAAAAGGAGCTAACACCATTTCCCCCAGGACTCTTGGGCCCAGCAAAGGATCTGACACTTGGAAAATAACTGGTAAGGTTTGTTCTCATTGCTCCCCCAAGTCCCACGCTAAATCAGACTGTTCTTTCCCAATGGAAAACACTTTTCATCATTGACAATAGACTAGCTTTTGAGAAACACATTTGCTATTTCTCACTGTAGTGGCCCTGGGGCTTGCCATGGATTTGTAAAAGAGGCTCAGCAGCGGTGGGGAGGAACCCAGAATTCTTTCCCCGTGCTCTTGTTAAGCACCCCACTCCAGTTCCATGCCACATACCTCGGGATCTAGGTCATCTAGAACATTTTCCAACTGTTTCAGTTCCTCTTCTGAGAGCTTGCCAAGAAGCTCGTCCTCATCGATGTTCTTGTATTTCTCCAGCTCCTTTTGAAAGGGGAGCGCCATGGCTTCGCAGATAGACCTTCCTCATACACTTTGAAGTAGGCCAGCTTCCGGGGACTTCACACTACCACTGTTAAAAAAGCAAGACTGTCAGCTCCTTACTGCCAGCTGTAAACTTAGCAATAGACGGTGCTACGCTGGCGATGAGTTCCACTGCATGGACAAGTCATCCGAAAGGCAGCATTACTTTATTTCCAGAGCAGTGTACAACCTGCAGTGTTTTCACACACAGCATTATTTCAATTACTTTTACCTTTAGGGCAGTCCTGTAAGGAAGCCTGCATGGTGGTACCACCACCACTCAATTTTACAGACTCTGACTGAGCTGGAGGTGACAGAGACCTAGTGTGTGTCTGGCTTCTGGTCCCCAGGGTAGCAAGTGCTTCTCCATTCTACTACAGGGCCTCTCTCGCTGCTGCTTTCCATTGAAAAGCAGTGAAGAACAATGACTAATTGTATGGCAGTTGTAAGCAGCACACTTGTGCCCTTTCAGGCTAGAGAGTGCTGAGAAGAACACCCACCGAATGAGATTCATTCAGGGAAGGGTTTAGAGGATCGGTATGAGGACACATTGTCCTATCACTCTGTGCAACGAAACCAAGAGATGTTCGCAAACCCTGGCCACATAGTCACTCTCCCTACTTCTCTTTTTCCTTCGTTATTAATTTCCATTTTAAAAAATGATGTCTTTGGGGCTGGAGAGATGGCTCAGAGGTTAGAGCACTGACTGCTCTTCCATAGGTCCTGAGTTCAATTCCCAGCAACCACATGGTGGCTCACAACCATCCATTATGAGATCTGGTGCCCTCTTCTGGTGTGCAGATATACATGGAAGCAGAATATTGTTTACATAATAAATAAATAAATAAATAAATAAAATATTTACAAAAATGATGTCTTTGAGAGTATTTTAATAGTATTTTTTATTATTATTATTTGAGGGCTCCCACCTTTAAATAATGTCTTTTGATCACATCCATCCGCTAGTGCCCCGTACCCCACCTCCCTCCAGGTGTCATGTCCACTTCTTATTTTGGTTGTTACTGTTTCTGTAGTCATTTGCCCCTAAAACATTCTCTTTTAGTCCCCCACCCCTCTGAAATGCGTCATTCATAAACTTCTACACCAAATACAAGTTTTACTCAGTCCCTTGCAGAAAATTCTACAGATCGCCCCCTACCAAGACAACTCTGTATTCGGTTCAGCCAGCTCTTCCAAGACAGTGGGTGTTAGCTGTACACCTGCCATTGCCAAGTGCAAGTCTAGAAAAGCCCCCCAGGAAGATTGTAGCTCAGCAAGACCGCCACACAAATGGCAATAATACAATGTAACAAGTGTTACAATAATGTCTGTAGTAGGCAGAAAACCACTGAAGGGGAGGTTTGAGAGTCACTCAAAACAGAGATTGTCATTGGTCCTTGAAGGAAGGGGTCCTAAGGACATGGATTCACAAGGCCCATCTAGGATAGAGAAGGGCATAAGCAGAGACACGGGATAGGAAAGGACATGATGGGTTGGGGTGGTTAGGAGGAGGATCTGTGGAGTGGGAAAAATGAAACGTCCAAGAAGGGGCTTCTTTATGGGCTATGCTAAGGAACATGGATCTTACCAACCAACCTACATTCCCACCACTAAATTAAGGGCCTATCATAGGGATGGGATTCTGAATCGTCTGAGTGGGCACAATTTACCCCAAAGTACTAAGGTGATGGAAGGCATAGGGACAGAAGGTCAGAACATCATGATTTTTGACTTTGGAGATGCAGGAAAGGCCACAAGAAGAGGAATGTGGGACTCTGGACATGTCCGCTGGTAGCCTTTGGAGAGCAGTAAGGTACCGCTGTCACCAGCGAGCACTCAGGTCTCTAATTTGTGAAGCAGCAACACACTCACAGTGCTTTAAGCAACTGAATTTACTCTTTGTCACAACAACAATACAGAAACTAATATACTCTCTCCCCATACACTCTCATCTCCAGGGTAACTGTTCTAGAATAGACCGTTCATCCTTCCATTTCTGTTCGCCACTCTGCCCTGTGTCCCAGGAGTACTGTCTCCTTAAACTGCACCTGGTCTCCTGTCCTTTCTGGCTTCTGTTTGACCAACAGGAGGCAACCAGTGGCAAAGGAGAAGACATAGTGGCGTGAGAGGAGGATGGGTGGGGAGAGGGTGTTTCAGAAAACCATGTCACCCCACAGGCCACCCTCTTTTGCTGGCTTTGGGCCTTGGGGTGGGAAAGGGTCTCTGCTATGACTCTTGCCAGATTTCTGCCTTGTTGTTTCTCTAAGGCTTCCTACATCCTTGTAAATAGCTTCTTTATTGAAACCGCCTCTAGTTATTAGGTCTGAGCCCACCCTCTGTTTCTTGTCGGGAAGTTGGCAGATGTGGCAACATTGCTTGGAATGTCCCTTTCTCTCTGTGCTCTGTTTCTGAGGCCTGGCTAAGATCCTAAGCTCTGCGGGACCACGGACTTCAGAGTGAGGGAGGCCTCTGGCCATCTAGCCCTGCTCTTGTACTCATCACTTCCCTCTCGGTCTCTTTTCACAGTTTCTCTTCCTCTGCCTCAAAACCTGGTACTCTTCAAAGTCTTGTCTTAGAAATAATTTTCTCCTCCTTCACCAACAGTGGTTACTTACCTTGAAATTTCAATTATTTTAATTTACCCTTTTTCAATTGAATTTGAAATTTTAATTATTAGCCATATTCTGCTAACTATAAAATCTGTATCTGGATCCTAGAATTTGTCCCTAAGGATAAGATTCAAGTTATCTAACCAGAATCCTCCCTTGGCTAGATTCTTAAAATCTTCCCTCAGACCCTGGAAACCTGTCAGAAGAGCTCTTACCTGCCTGTTCCACCTCTAGAATTTCAAGAAGTTGTTTCAGAAACCAGGGTGTCATTCTTGACATTTTTCCTTTGTCTCTCTTCTACCTACTAATCACCAAATCCCATCCTTGCAAAATGATGAGGAGAGCTCATCTACTTCTCCATCCATGCCCATGCCCAGCCCCTGACCTTCTGATAATCCCCCACACAGTGGTCAAAGTGATCATTTTGGCTTTATTTTAGTCTTTTAAACCCCCCCTCCCCTACGAGAGTGAGAAGGGAAGAAAAGGAAGGATGCAGAGGTCATGAGGAAGCAGAAAGGTTGAGTCAGGTGTAGATTAGAAGAAAGGACATATGATAGGTAGGATTTTAGTGGGGGGGGTGGTAAGGGAGGAAGGGAGGGAGAAGGGAACTGGGATTGTCATGTAATTCAATCTTGTTTGTAATTCAAATATATAAAAAATAAAAAACTAAAAAACAAAACAAAAAAAACCCTCCCAGTGGCTTCTCATCGCCCTAAGGATAAAGTTCAGATTCACACTCTGGCCTCTGGAGTTCCATCCTCTTCTTCCTGCACTGCATTCCCAACGTCCTCCTGGACCACTTCCAATTCCTGGCTCATTTATGGTCCCTTTGCTCAAAGCACTAAGGACCCCAACTCAAAGCCCACCCCTGCTGACGCTACCAGACTCACCTTCCAGTCTCAATGTGAGCTTCATTTCTTCCATCAATCAGATTCTGAGTCAAAAATCTGGGTCATGTGCTGCCACATGGTGCTCCTTAGACTGCAATTTGGCTTCCATACAATTACTTGCTAATCTTGGTGAGGGTGGGGACTATATAACTTTTATTCGCCAGTAAAATCGGCCAATAAATACTGATGTCAAATGAAGGAAATGAGCTCACAGTAGTGAGGTGGCCATGGGATCAGAGATCTTTCTAACTGAAGCCAGTTTTTCCCCATCCCCCCACCCCTCCTGGAGCTTGCTGAGATCACCCAAGCCCACAAAGTTGCTCCTCTCTCTAAATTTGCTTTGTCTGTAATGAAACTCACATTGAGACTTTTGGAAGACGAATCTGGTAGAGTCAGTGAGGGGTGGGCTTTGAGTTATCTGTTTCACATTCACCACTCATTATCATTCATGTATGTTACTATACACTTCTCTCTCCAAATACCACCATCTCCCAGAAAACAGAGACCATATTCTAATTCCCAGTGCTCCAGGGTTTCTCAGGCTCATGCATATTCATTCAACAAATGTCTATTGAAAAGCCTACATTGCTGAGACATAGCAGCGGACAAATGGTCCTCTGGGTGCTACCTGAACCTATAATTTGCAAGGGAAAGAGCATTGAGTAGTAATTTAACCACCAACAGTGCCTGTCAAAGCAAACTTCACATTCTATAGCAAGATGCCAGGGGTCTCAGAGCCAGAGGGGAAAGGAACATTGTATCTGCTTAGAGTGCAACCCTGACCTGGAGATTCAAGGAGATACTAACTGTTACTGTTATTATGGCGGAGTTTTTACTTTTTTGTTTGAGGCAGGGTCTCACACTATAGCCTAGGCTAGCCTGGAATTCACTGTTTAACCTAGGGCTGGCCTCAAATTTATTGCAATCCTTCTTCAGCCTCCTAAATGTTGTGACTATAGGTATATATAAACAAATCCCAGCTCATTATTGTTATTATTATTATTATTATTATTATTATTATTATTAATCTATTTTGAGACAGAGGCAGGAGGATTGACACAAGTTTGAGGGCACCCTGGTCTACATAGTAAGAGTTCCATCTCAAAACCAAACCAAACCAAAGCCCTAAAACAAATACAAGTGTGCTGTCAAACAATACAGCCTTCTTATAGCTTCTATAAAATCAAATCCCTGATTTCCCAGTGCTTGGCAGGCCTGCTGTACCCCACCCAGGCCCTGCTGGGTTCACGTTTGTTTTCCCTCCTGGGAGTGATGAGCTGGTGGAAAGTTTGCAAAGCCCTGCCATAGCCTCGCCTCCAGCAGGGTGTCTGCCCCATGGCAAACATTCAACAGGCAACAGGATACGAATGCACACACAGGAATGGAGCGTGCACCTCCGAGGCTCCCAGGAGCCCAGGTGGGCAAACACAGAGTCTATTGGCAAAATGGAAAATAGGCGTGGCAGTGAGCTGAAGGAAGTGTCTCTTCCTGTTACCCAGAAACACAAGCCTTGGGAAGGAAAGTTAAGAGCATGGTTTTCTGTGCTTCTT